ATTACGCGTCTTTCGCGCGAATATTACTCGCTACCGTTCCCTGTTGGAATTTTGCCGTAAAATACGTCCCGTCGTTTGTTACAACCGCCGCGGATCGTGTTGCGGCCGCGGTACGCTATAAATTTTCAAATTTAGTTTTCGTGAAATATATTTGGACGGAGGAGCGCGAAACAAAACGTATAGCCGGCTTTTGGCAAGTCGTGCGCTCAATCCTGCGGCCGCCTCGATACCACCATGTCGCGGCGTTTTATAATTTCGAACAATTGCAAAAATAATGGGGATAATGTGATTTGACATCTTTCAAATTTAGGCTGCACCCTGTATCTATTGTCAAATTGTGACTCGAGTTTGTTCCTTCTTTTACCTGCCAGGGAGTAGAAATAATTTCATCAATTTTAAGGATTCATTCTTGAAGACCGAATCAGAAACGATGAACAATTGACGATAATTTAAACTATTGTAATTTTAAAATTATACACAAGTTTGTATGAAAATCATACAATTCACCTGGGCTCGTTTTAAAACGTGAAGCTACTATTCCGACAGCCGTAAAATGATTTTTATTTTGTATCATGTAGTGGGTAAAAGTTGTGAAGATTCAAACGATTATGTAGAAATGCAAATAATTTTTTTCACAACTAAATTCAATAGTCTTTGAAATCTTCTTTACAAAACCTCTTTAAAATTCCCTTTTCATTGAAACTTGAATTAAAAATTAAAATTAAACGACGAAATGTTAGTTCATCGTTCAATGAAATAATAAAAAAAAAAAAAATCATACAAGTTTTAAAGAGATTTCAATTCACAAGACTATATTGAATCTAGTTATAAAAAAGATTTTTTTTAATGTATTTTTTATATTTGAATTTTTTTTTATATGCCCCCATATTTAAATTCTTACAATTCTCGAGAATTCTGTTACAAATTCAATCTTCAAGATCATGAAACAAACTTTTTAATTTTTCTTTCTTTGCGTTTGAATTTGTACGATTTTCGAGAAAAAAAAAATCGCCACCCTTTCCAAATAATGTAAAATAACTTATCAAGATTGATAGTACAGTAGCATATTCTATGCTTTAAAATGAAATCAAGTTGTATGAAATTAATAACACAGTTTAAATCATTCTTCACGATTGTTCGCTGAGTTACAGCTCTCCTCGCTGTGTGTTGTCCCCTTTAAATTTACGTTTCGTTCGACCGCAACGCTCGCTCGATGCATTCGCATCGCTCCTTTTTATATTCTGTCCATTATCTTCCTCGCGTTCGTTTCGTTTCACGTCAAGAACGTTCAGATTAACCCCTTCGCATCTCGCGGACGAGATATCTCGCGACACGATGTTGTTTGCGCCACTCTTGGAACGAGAGAGATATCTCATCGCTCGATGTCGTTCATGCGTCGTTATAGACGAGAAATCTCGCGTGTCTATCTCTCTTTTTTTATTTTTTTTTTTTTTTTTTTTTTTTTTTTGATACTTGCAATTGCACGTCGCTTCGCATTAAAAAAAAAATGACAAAGTAACTTTACGCTCGACGTTATTGAGCCCCTTTATATTTCTAAAATATCAGCACTTTTATCGCGGTGTTCGTCAGCGCGCGATTAAGCGTAAATTGTTCAAAGACCCAACATTTCCATCCGACAATGTCCTCCACCGTATAATTAATCCTCCAGCCGCCGGTAATTTTTTGTTTTTTTTCTCTTTTTTTTTTTTTGCGTACAGAGAATGGCGAATGAAATTTATATGTTGCGCGAGTTTATCGTGAAGGAGAACTAATACCGTATTTGGTATCGCCCGCGGCTAAAAGGTTAAAATACGAGCTCCCTTCGAAATAACAGTTTTCCTACCACGGCCACATATGCCTGCAAGAGCATGCAATTACACACTCTTCGAGGTATTAATAGTTTCGTTTAATTTCAAACACGTCGTTCGCCGTATAATTATGCACAACCTCCTCGAAAACCAGAGCCGCCGGGCTCTTTTAAATATCAATTTCACTTTCGATCAGCAATATCTTTCACTCTTCATTACTGTGCAATCAAATGTACAATGTCAGTTCATTTCTGTCATGAGATGTTTTCAGCATGATGGACGTAACGTGTCGCGAGGAAAGATCAAGGGAATAAACAAACATCATTGTCGTGATCGAGACATTGTACGTCACGATACATGTCGTACGTCTTGATCGAGAATCCTTTGCGAGGAAGAGGCTCGTTGACCCAGTTGTCGTCGCTTAATTGTGTCTGTTGCATCAGATTTTAGTAGACTCAAGTATGTCGCGTATGTTACAATATTCTCTTTGTTTCGATTGCAGAGACGATCGTTCGATCGTCTAATTTTGTGCCAACGAGAGCGAAAAATTTATAAAAACTGTTTGCTAAAAAAAAAAAATTCATTACATTTATCGTAGGTATACAGAGTGGTTTCACATAATTTGCACACCTGAAATAACTTCTAAAGAAAAATTGTTTAATAAAAATTGTGTGGTTTTAACGTTTTTGCGCCCAGCAATTGGTTCGCGGACCATAACGAGTGACCGAACCGTATGCAATAATTCGTCCTCTTTTTGAATTCATCGGTATATCATTGGATAGAAATTATTAAGAAGTAGTAAACTTATTATAAAAGTAATAAACTTACTATTATATAATAATAATAAACAATTATATAATAATATATTATATATAATAATAAACTGCTTATTATAGAAATAATAAACTTATCATTTGTTTTGTCTGGGTTACATTTAAATATACTTAAAACTCAGAAAATATTGCAATTTTGCATTTTCGACTCTAGAATTTTTATATTTAGAATATAGAATATTTAGAATATTTAGAATATTTCTATTTATAAAGAATCTTTATTTCATAGAAACAAAAATTTCATCGAAATGTATCAAACTTGAAAAATTGACCATGAAAATTTTCGTTAAAATATCGCGTGATTTTCAGACTACTGTGCATTGTTGAAAGACACGGCTCTTCAAGAATTGCTTGTCGGTGGACGCATTTTCGATTCCAGAGTTTTAAAAGAGACCCTTATTTCTTACGAAACAATGATCGAAATATCAAACTTGGAAAATTGACCGTGAAAATTTTGGCCAAAAAAATCGTGCGAGTTTCAGACTATTGTCGTTGGAAGACGACCGACGATCCCTCGAGAATCGGCGGACGCGATCGTCGTGGCATCTCGATCGCTAGGCGCCGCTCGGTTACCTTGACGTTCGCGATTTTATTCGCGGTAGCCACCGTTTTGTCCTCCGCGGCTCTCAGGCCGCTACGTAAAAGGACGAAAAGCGTCGTGTACCGGTTTCGCCGTTGCCCCGCGCCAATAATAGAATCGTCCGGTTTTGGAGCGCGGCTTCTAACGGGGCGCCAGGCCTGTTTCGTGCGCCCGTTGTTGCTGCTCGCCCATTAATTTCCCCTCTCGATCGAAAGCCCTCGCGAGCGTCGGTTGCCTTGGGTCGGTTTTTCCAATCGCTCGCTGCTCGCTTCGCCAAACGATCGTCGATCCTCATTCGGATGCATTCTCAAGTGGGAATCGGGACGCCTCCGTCTACGTCTCGCGCGGTGACATTCCCACGAAAATAGGTTTGTCGCGCGTTGGCGCCTCTAATCAATGGCACCTCGTTTCCTTTTTAACGAACCTCGCTCTTCACCATCCACGCGCCACTCGATGCTTAAGGGAGTGAACGTAATTGGCAATGGTTGGACGTTGTCCCTTTACGTTGCAGAAACCTCGGTTTTCTTGAAATTTACGAGACGAGCGTTAAAATCCGTGGATGGACAGATCGCTATTACTTCGGTTTTTGTTTCCAAAGTCGCGAAGAAAATGGGAATAATTTGTTTGTCGTGAAACTAGAGCTCCAATTTACTAGACCAGATGGTTAAATTTAACTAATTTTTTAACTAAATTTTTTAGAAGTGATGGAAAAGAATAACCGACAGACGAGTATCCTATATTCTAAAATAAGTAAAAGACGTACAGTAAAATTTCTATTTTTGTATAATTATTATTAATTATTATTTATTAAATTATATATTAAATATTTTATATTATATTAAAATAAATAAAAATCAATTTTTTTAAATTAATATTTTTATTTATTTTTATATTATATATACATATAATATATATATAATAAAACTTTTATTTTTTATTATTAAATAATTTTTATTAAAATTTTTTGAATTTAAGAATATAGATTTTCTCGAAAGCGAAACATCTTAGAAAATTTTATTCTACATTTCTTACTCATTTTCGCATGTTAGAATAATCTCCCGTTAATTTTTTTTCTTTTTTTGTCATGTTTAAAATTAGTTGAATTCAAGTATATACTCGATAAATTCTCAAACTCGGTTTTCTCGAAAACGAGAAGTGTCTTGTAGAAAAATTTTATTCTTTATGTAGATTTATTCTTAATTGTTCAATTCTTATTCTTAATTTATTCTTAAATGTAGAATCATGCCTTAGCCTTTTCGGGTGAAAACACGCTGAAATATTGGAATTAAAAATGTCTTACGTTGATCGAGAACGTTGTAAATTATTCTTTGCTGTCTCTTGGTATAACAGACGACAAGCTTGATAGATAAAAATAATTTAATCAACCAGGTAAATTATTCCCCGTATAATTGAGATAATGCCTACTTGAATAACCGCATTTTTCCTAGATAATAAACTAGATTATTAGCCGTCAGACACCTTTTAATTACCTTTTGATTACCTCTGATATTTAACATTCTGAAGGAAATAAACTAATGGGATAATGAGCGGAATTTATCAATGTGTCTGTTTCGTTACGACAAAGCAAAGCGACATTAGACCAAATTAAAAGATCTTTATTCTTATGATGTAACATTCGATGAAAGATAATATTCGTAGATCAGAGAGTCGTGTAAAATTATAATACTAATTACTGATTGCACAATTAAATGATCAGATGCGAGTTTGATAATTTCTCTAATATTGGTATTTGCTGATTGCTTTTTCTTCTGATTTTAGAGTCGCCGCCACCCCCCTACTGCCTTGTTGCCGACAGACTGAGGCCCGAGGGTAAGTGCCTTCATCTATTACATTTTTAATACCAGTACACTTGCTGCAACATATGCAGCGACATCGTAAATTAAATCAGGAATTAATCGGCGACGTTTATCGATACAGCCGCGCCCAGAGTCCTTGCACAATTTATAAAAGCTCGTTGAGAATCTTAAATTATCAAAGCCATTTGTGACGACTGATATAACTGAAAATTTCGATTATTAGAATGTCGAGCAACACTGTGGTGAATTATCGCGATCAGTGGAAAATTTTGGAATTGATTTTTATGAGAAGTATTTGATATTCGAATCGTCCTTCTTGCACTACAATGGTTATGAGAAACAAATATATTCACGAGTTCACCGTGTGTCTCGAGTTAGGTGTCCACTTCAGTCCGCACAATTCAGCAAACTTTTAATCATTTTAATCGATTTTCATCGTATCTGTTGCACCAACGTGGAATGCAGCCTCGCGCAATCGTTCGAGCGATAACTCATGTTTATTGCCCCGCGAACGATTAGCATGCGAGTCGTTTTCAACGAGCGTCGCATCTCGTGGCTTGGCTCGGTGCAAAAATTCTCTGTGACGAAACGTACCAGGAGGAACGTGTCTCACGACGTTTGAATCGATTTTGAAATAATGCTTTGAAATAACCAAAGCGGTGCCAAACGTTTAACATATGAAAGAGCGTAAGATTTTTCTCTTGGTTTGTTTGTTAATCAACATGGAACGCGGGCGTTCGAAAGAAAAATTGATTTACTGTTCGTTCGAGATCGTGGTGATCTGCTCGAGGTTCGAGCTAGCCCCGTGAAATATCTCGATTAGCATTGGAATGTAACAGTGTACATTGCAAATGCATAGACAAGTGTGATCGGGACAAGTGTATCGCTCGGAGCGTTTGAAAGTCAGTGTGAACAGTGCATTGTGAGCAAATCCTAACCTCAAAAGAGTCGAATTTGGGGAGAGCTTGTGGAAAATAATCCTGATTTGGCAGTTGAATTTTTGTTTAATCCGCTGAATTCAATTTCACAGTGTTTAATGGTATATGAACCTTGATATTTAATGATACATATAACATAACCTAACCTAACCTCGTAGAACTGAACAGAGGGAGCTTGTGGGAAATTCTGATAACGGATTTGGCAATTAAATTCTTTTTTAATCGGTCGAATTCAATTTCACAGCGTTTAATGGTATATGAACCTTGGTATTTAATGATACATATAACATAACCTAACCTAACCTCGTAGAACTGAACAGAGAGAGCTTGTGGGAAATTCTGATAACGGATTTGGCAATTAAATTCTTTTTTAATCGGTTGAATTCAATTTCACGGCGTTTAATGGTATATGAACCTTGGTATTTAATGATACATATAACATAACCTAACCCAACCTCGTAGAACTGAACAGAGGGAGCTTGTGGGAAATTCTGATAACGGATTTGGCAATTAAATTCTTTTTTAATCGGTTGAATTCAATTTAATAGGGTTTAATGGTACATAAACTCTAGTATTTAATGGTACGTACATATAAATACTAAGGAGAACAAAATATGTAGGTGTACCCGGCAATTTCAAATATAATGGCGCCGCGTTCATCGTTGCAACTGTCTCAGCGATAATTAGTTATTTGCTGGTGACTAACTTTCACCCGTATTTCCACCGTATTTTAACATTTTTTAATCTACCTTTGTTTTACGCCACGATATAATTTTCTTTTTTTTTTTTTTGTATTACAGATATATAATTTAGAAAAGAAATATCAGGAATTAGTTAAAATTAGAACTCTAAACTGATGATTAGTCGATTTTTACAGTAAATCATCGTTAATAGCTTTTCGTGTCTTGTTAAAGTCGAAACGATGAAACTACAAGAAAATTTTATTAAAATATGTCGATTCTTTCTTTGATATTAATATTAAACAGATGTTACGAAATCTTCACATTGATATTATATTATTATTAATTTGACTAATACAATTAATTACTATTAGCTGATAAATAATTAATTATATTAGTTTAACTAATATTATCGTTATATTAGGTATCGGTATATTCATTTGTACGATACTCTTCGATTTTTGATCAACGTTTACAATTACAATCGTTGTGAAACGGATCGCAAGTTCTCGAGGTGCGATCGTAAAGCGAGCATGTGCAGTTTCTCCCCATTTTCATTCACGATCCAGTCCGCGTTTTATGCGCGGATCATCTTATAACTCGAACGGACGTGTTGTAAGCCGATCTTATTGATTGCGACGAACCATATGGCTATAGGTTTCAGAGTATCGCCGTTTCCGTGGTTGACGCACAACTTGCCAGCAAACACCGATCTCTAGCAGTCGATGGAAGCCGATCGATCTTATCACGCTCGTATCGAGAAAATTATAAGGCTCCGGTCTTCAATTCCCGCTTGTAAATCTCGCACGAGTTAACGGGAGTCTGTTCACAGACTCGCACGTTCCTTCGTACCGAGAAATTCGATCGTGAAACGATCGTGATACGGTATACATGAGATTTCGTTTATTGTATCGATCGTTTCTTATTGTTTCATACTCGTTTCGAGAATTCATGTGGCTAGGAAACATCACCTGTCCCAGGTAGATCGAAAACTCAGGAATCAGAAATTAATAATCAGAAATTAATTCGCTTTCAAAGAAAAAATTGAATTTTGGTAAAAAAAAAAAAAAAAATATATGTATCGTTACGTAGAATTATATAATAATAATATTATAATTTTATAAAAGATTGAATATATATAAATTTTATAAAATTTATTAATAATAATATTATTATTAAAATTATATTATTATAATTTTATAAAAGATTAAATATATATAAATTTTATAAAATTTATTAATAATATTATTATTATTTTATAAAAAATTAATGTATATAAAATTTACAAAATTTATTAATAATATTATTATTAAAATTATATTATAATTTTATAAAAAATTAATGTGTATAAAGTTTATAAAATTTATTAAATATATATAATGATAATAATATTGTATATATTTAATAATAATATTATAATTTTGTTTTTCGTAGCTCCGTGAAAGCAAGTTACTTCAATATGTTTAACTAAAAATCCATTTTTATATTCGAACATGTGAATCCTTTCTTCGAAATTGGTATTAACAGATGTTACAAAATACGATTACTTCACATTGATAGTTTAATTATTATCTTCGGAGAATCTGCTTTCGTAAAAGTTCCATGAAAACAAGTTACGTCAGAACATTTAACCAAGTATTCATTTTCACACGCGAGTACTGCTCGTTTATAGCGATATTTGCCACAAATATTGAAAACATTTTTGAAATATCGCCGAACGAGTTGTCCCTCCGGCAGAAAAATTTCTAACTTTTATATTTTTCCTTTACAATTTCCATTCTGTCTGAGATTTTTATTTAATTTCTAAGAACATTCATCCGTCTGTTCTCGTCGAAAATGATTCGCACAAAGTGTCAAACAATAACCTATTTAAAAGTTGTTCAACTTTCTTTGCAAAAAAAAAAAAAAAAAAAAAAAATCTAGATCTTTCTGGCACGATGCTCGAAAAGGGAGCGTGGAGGGGGGATCAAGTTTCTCGAATTTTTTTAAACAAACGTGGCGGCAAGCCAGTTCGAGACCGAACCCCGAAATTATGTAGCTATTTTTGCTGGTATTTTTACAATGCTCGGCTCTGCGGCTGGTTTTTGGCCGGTTGTTCCCCCTTTTTCTTCCTTTTCTCTTTTCGTGGCTGATCCTAAACTGGTTTTCAGGATCGATACAAGCACGCAGATCCCCTTGACCATCGATAGATTCATTCGTTCTCTCTCTTTCTCTCTCTCTCGAGTTCTCGTTCGATCTCTCGTTGTCTGTGATTGCGTAATATGGTTGGTTACAGCGAAATGGTCTTCTTCGATGCCTCGCCGATGTCGTCGCCGCAACTTTCAATTAAGTTAAACGTCGGACTAGAAATTATTTCCGACGATGAGTCTCGGATGAATCAATCGAAAGAATCGTAGTTGGGAATGGTCGACGTATCAAGGAACGTCTCGCGTGAACGTTGAACACGATCGTGTGTGTTCCTGGCAGCATTTCCTCTTTTCCTTCTTTCAATTATCGCGCGATAATCGCAGACGATGAAACTGAATTCGTAGTAATTTGTAGGCAATCACGTTTAATTGAAAGCCTGGTGTCACGGAATATATCAAATTGCGAAAGTTTCTTTGAAATCGTTTGAGATGGCAGTTCGCGTTAGTAAAATATAAGATAATAAAATAATTCGTCGACAGTTACGTTCAGTTAAAAGTCAATTTCACGGAATATATCAAATTGATCAAAGATTTAATTCAATCCTTCTCAAATTCATTCAACAGTTATTTGATCAATGTAAGGTAGTGCCGACGATAAATTAGTAATTATTATTGCCCCTGAAAATGATATTTGACCTCATGGTACAATACGTGTCCTAAAAATGCAGTTTGCTATTGATAAAAATAAAATTATTCTTCCAATTAATCCAACATGAACAAGTTTAAACGAATAATAGAATAAATGTTCGTCTAATATGAAAATTTAAAAAAAAAAGAAAAAAAATAGAATGATGCTCCATTTATGTGAATTGATATTTATACAGTAAGAAACGGAATTTCAACTTCTTAATTCAATTACGCCTCGATCATGCTTCACGATCTCCACCGATTACATCGATCACCCCGACTTAATCTGCCTTTTTAATTAACTATTTTATTTTCGGATGTGTCTACGCGATATCTCGCTCGCCTCGCGATAATCTCGTTTCGCGGAATCCGTTTGAGTTCCGATTAATTTTCGTAATTCAAAGAGAGCTTGTAAATATTCTAAACTCTTTCTACTTCATCGGTGTATTGCGTTATGCAAATGCTTTCGCAAATTTCATCAAACACCACTTTTCTCAATTCTCTCAGTCCGTCAAATTTATTGTCAGAGTTTGAACACGTACGTAAAATATCCGATATTGCATTTTTTTTTTTTTTTTTTTTTCACTACTCGCGGTCATTTCAATTTTCACCGTCAAAGTTAATCAA